TTCTAAGCGTTGTATAAAATCCTGTTCAATTTTCTCCATAATTAACTTACTTAGTCAAAATTAGCATTTGTGCAAGGCAGTTCAAAAGACCTGGGAAAGTCCTTATAATTTTTGCTTATTTTCGTAAAATTAAAAATAAGAAATTCGAAATTATTAACGTTTGAGTCTATTTTAACTCACGTTTGGAATTTTGCATTCGGACATTTTCTCATTAATAACGTATTGTTTCATATGGACAAACTCGATGTAACAATTTCAGATATTTGAATAGTTGTAATTTTATTAGCAAATAATTCCAAAAATTCAATTCAAATGTATACTTCTCGAAAACCAGGAACAATCCGTGACAAATAATGCTTTGCAAAGAATCCGGGACGGAAGGTGGAAATCCGGAATAAACCATTCGGGACTTGGTATATATACGAGCTACATTATTTATTTCAATTTATATTAAAACAGACATTTTTAAAAGCAATATACGTTACTTCATCGCTTTTCTCTACTTTTTATTTTATGGAGTTATATATATATATATATATATATATATATATATATATATAATTTTTACCAATTTTTAACCGTCTGTGTACTTTGTAGATGTCACGTATCAGTAAAACAGGAAAAGCGTTGAGACCTACTTACAAATATCGCAAAATCGATTGGCGATAATTTTAATCGAAGAGGCCAAGGTTCCAGGCACGCATCACAAATGTCACGGCATAATATTATGCATAACCAAAGGACAACGTTATGTTATGAATAAATAAATTAGTTAATGAGATGCAAAAAAACTTCGACAAAAATTATTTTATAAACGACCATAAGAGTAAACAAGCATAAAGGTGTTACTTGAAATACGCCGAAGACTGATGCGAAACCAAACAATTTAGGATATGTTTCATTATAGTGTTCATTTAATAGAACTTGGAAAACCAAAAATAACGAATTTATTCTACTATCAATTATTACTATTCTACTATTAAGAATTCAACAGAAACTTAACTTTATAACAATCGAAGGATAACTCACGTATCGTAAATGGTTAGAAAAGTTTGCTTTCAGTTTCGAATAAAATTGTGGCAGAAGATTTATGTAATTCTATTTATTGTACGTAGTAGCTAGATACAAAAAATCGTCTACATTCCATACACTTGATCTAGTAAAATTGCATCTAATATTAAATACACACTGGAGAAACTACTATCTATAATTATATTTAATTATGTTGATGAAAATAACTCATAGAATGTAACTAATATTCTGATTGTTATTAATAATAGCATAAAAAAAAACATAACGCAATTGGACAAATTACATATATATACTAAAATATTTTTAATTTAGTTGCTTTTGCCTCTACCTCGTTTAAATACTTTTTATATTTTTTCTTCTATTCCATAGTTTAAATTTTCAAATCTATTGTAATAAGTAGCCAGTATTGTAATAAAATAAATTGAAAAATACAGATTGTGATTAAGCGTGTACCTAATGTACACACTACAAAGAATAATAAATTCATATAAAAAGGATGTTTATTAAGGTATCAAACTGAATTAGTCTTAATCCAGAATTCTATATATTATATTGAGTAAAATAAAAAGTTCGTTTCGTTTTCCACGATAGACGGCTTTACAAATAATTCAGGAAGTGCAGATCGCAGCGGCACTGATGAACCCTCGTTAGAAAGGTGACACTTCGAGTATTACTTTGATGGTATAATTAAAAAATTGGCCAAGTGGTTGAAAAGTTATTTGTGTTTGAAAATGGAGCAAATGAAAAAAAGTCGCTATATTTTGCAATATTATTATGATAGAGGGAAGAACGCTGCACAATCTTAAGAAAACAAATTATACTGTATAAGGTGAAGGTACTTTATCAAAATCTGCTGCTCGAAAACGGTTCGTTCGCTTTCGTTCTGGTAATTTTGATGTGAAAGATGTGCCAGGCTCCGCTCATCGAATCACTGAAGAAATTGAAAGGAATTTAAAAAGGCAGAGCAAGATAAGCAAATAAGCTGTGTCGACATTAGGAGGGAACTAGCCATTGATCAGGAATCTGTTTTGAACCAATTATATAAAGCTAAGTACAAAAGAAAGCTCGATGTGTGGGACCATCATGAGTTGGGCGCGAAGAACTTGATAGAACAAATCAACGTCTGCGATACGAAGCTGAAATCCAATGAAATCGAACCATTTCTGAAACTTTTCATAACTGGTAAGAAAAAGTAGATTATATACGACAATCGGAGGCGAAATAAATCTTAGTTTAATGATGGTGAGCGACGACAAACGTTTACAAATCAGAAATGACACTGAAAAATATGATGCTGTGTTTGTGGTGGGACTGGAAGGTAATTGTCAATCGTGAGCTACTTCCAGTTGGTCAGACCATTAATTATCAATCTTACTGTAAATAAATAGAGAGATTACGCCAAGCAATTGAAAGAAAACAGCTTCAATTAAATATATTGTCTTCCATCATAACAAAGCCCGACCATACACTTATTTGATAACCTGCCAAAAGTTGCAAAAGCTTAGTTGAGAAATTTTTATGCATCCACCGTATACTCAGACATAGCACCATGTGACTAACATTTGTTCCGATCTCTGCAAAACTATCTTAATGGAATTAAACTGATTGCAAAAAACACTTGATTTAGTTTTTCAACCAGAAGCCAGAAAACTTCTTCATCGGTGGCATCATGGCTCCACTCGAAAAAAGCGAAACATTGTAGGTATTAATAAGCATATTTAATTTGAATAAATTTATTTTTACCCTATAAAAAACATGTTGAGTTTCACCAAATAAACGCAACGAACTTTTTACTTGACCCAATATAAACACAAACCCAAATGCATAGCTCCCAACAATCTAAGAAATGTAAATTCTATGATCTGTCATAAATCAAGTTCAATTTGATGATTTAGTAAAACTCATTAATTTATCCTAATAACACGACTTTTGAATAATATTTCTAATTACACGGTGCATGAAATAATTTGTATGCAAAAGATTAGATAAACTTGTTTGTAAATCGTAATAAATTGTTTACACTATGTAAGCGAACGTCTATTATTCATACGTATATAGTTAGATAATAACTGATAACTATTATGTTAGTGATAAACGGACCTTAAGGCGTTGTACATTTGTTTTGAAATGATTCCGAAGAAAAATACCAAAGAACGTTCCAAAAACTAGCTACATAGAAATATATACGAGATATATATATATATATTAATATTTATGTATATATTAGAGTAGGGTAACTCCAGAGTGAGATATATCCGATGGTATGAAGAGTGAATTCAAGCGGAGTTGTTCGGAAATTTTGTCATATCCGACTTCTGTTTAAATCATTATTTTATTGACATTTTTTATTCACAAATTGTCTGGTCGCCTGATTGCCTCTATAGCAAAGAATTACCCTAATATAATAATAATTTAAGATATATGAACAATACAGTATAGAACACAATTTAATGTTTCGGAGTTGTTAAGCGGACATAACTCCTCGCTGAAGCGGAGTCAAATCCTAAGCGATCCGGCTATATATATATATATATATATATATATATATATATATATATATATATATATATATATATATATATATATATATATATATATATATATATATATATATATATATATATATATATATATATATATATATATATATGTATATATATATATATATATATATATACTTTGCAATAATTACATTTTTTTAAAGATATTTTTTTTTTAATTTTTATTGTTTCTACAGCAATCAGAACTCTTACTCTAATGTTCTATAAGCTGTTTTTGTTCATGACTTATGACCTAAGGTATTATTATGAGAGGCAACCCATCGGTTCACCATTCTCCTATGTGTGGGATTTATATATTAGCTCTTACGTCTAATAGTTTACATATGGTTGAATGATGCAACTATGTCCACGGAGTACGATTTCCACTTGGAATTACATTGTGATCTATAACACCAAGTGAAAATTTGACATCAAAGTTGCCTGATGTCAGGCTTAGCGGTAACGGGAAACGAACCAGCGAAACTGGAACTAGTTGGTACTAGCCCACGCTCTAACCGATATCGCCACCGCTGGCCCACAATAATTACATTTGGACAAACAAGCAATATTTCAGGAGGCACATTTGTAGGTTTGTTTGTAAACACATTCACCTATTGGCCATACACCGCAAACTACGTAATTACCGAGGCTGTATTAAAGCACACTGAACAAATCAAATAAAAGAAGAATATATCTATCTTTAATAAGACCAACCATGATACATGCTTCACCAATTTGGTGCATGACAAGCAAGACTAATATAAATAAATTACAAAAAATTCAAAATAAAGCCTTAAGGATAGTCTTTGGAAATTCAAGAAATCCAGTGAATCTACATTATATATCCAACAAAATATTACATGAAGCAATAGAAGTTCCGGAAATTATAGATTTAATAAATAAAATATCAAAATTATTTTTTTCAAAATGTGTAATAAATGATAACACAACAATTAATGCTATAGGTTCTGTGACTAAAATTATGTTCTGGTATTCAAACTATGTGTTACCAAGTTTTATAAAAGATGTTTAGTTTAAATCAATATTTAAGTTTTAATTTACCAAAATTTTCACTACTACATTTATGTTTTTCTTAGTGTTGTATTGTCCTTAAATATATTGTTTGTGGTTTTTGTGATATTTTTGCCACATTATAAATATTATTTAGATTAAAGTTATAATTAAGTGAATTTATTATAGTTTAAATAATTGTTTTTGTTATCTTCAAATGAAGATAGGTATTCAGTTTGTAAATGTATAGATTGTATTTGTTCATATTAAATGTAATAAAAAATCTTATAAAAACAAAAACAAAAAAACCGAGGCTGTACAGAGGTTAAATAATGTATACATTTCGTAATAAACCTAATGTTTTCAAATCATATCTTTCGTAGTGGAATATGCATGTTTCAATCGTGGTAAAGTTACCTTTGTTTTCCATTCGGCTGGCTCCCCATGTCCCCCAAAGGCACAGTGGCGTTCGAGTTGGCGGGGGCGACAGTCGTATTGTTGCTGGTCCCCAAACGTTTCTCGTCTTTTGGCAAACGCAAATAATCTTGCTCGCCTAATAAAAACAAGTCCTTCGAAATGATCATTGCAAAGGTTCCGTATTCAATTCAAACTACGTTCGTCTCACTGTGGCCCCGATTTGATTTAAAACGCTATGTATACATACGTATGTAAATATATGCAACTAGGTATATAAAACACTTTGTATTACGTTAATAAATTATGTATTAGTATCAACTGCTGCATATTTATTTTATAAACTTTAAGTCATATTAATGAATAAAATATATTTAAAACATATATCTTCAAAGCGCATCGATAAAAACGTTTTATTTTTAAAATATTATATTTTAAGTTTAAGATAAACCTTTATATAGAATAATAATAAAAGCAAAGTTAACTTTTCACTTGGTAACACAACACAATATATTATTTTATTTATATATTTTTTATATATTAACTATATAGCTCTATACATTAATTACATTTAAAACTAAAATTCGGACGTCAACTCATCGAATATGTTTGAATGATACAAATATAGCGCTCAACGGTACGATAACATAACCTTATATTTGTATAAAATACGACACACGGCGAAATGATGCTTTCTGTTCGACGACAGAAAACTGACTGACAGCGTTGCTGTCGCTCTCGCAGCGCTGCGACCGACGACTTCCCCGATACCGCGATACCGAGGATGATCGAAACTCGAAGGTGGTGGCACGACCGAGCGCGACTGCAGAAATAACGAGTCAGCCGCCGCTATGCAACGCACGTGCACTGTGCACTGTGCAGTGCACTCGCCGATTCGCACTTGAGCTGTTGTTATGTTGCGTATGCCATGATCTATTCGCAACCAGCACAACTGGCATAGGTAAATAAGCATAATAAGATTGAGGGAATAATACTTTTTGTCTCACATAACAACTCTAAAAAGATACTAGCTGTAAGTGGAATTCTGTCTTAAGGCAATTAAGGCATCGTGCCTTAAGGCAAATTGCTGGAACTTTCCGTACCAAAAATTATTATTTTTTTAAAAACGATTAACATTTTTGAAAAAATTTTACTTCGAAAAAATTAGATTTTTGACAAACAATTAGACAAAAAATTACTTCTAAAAAAAAAATTTTTTTTTTTGAAAACAAAATTTTTTTGAAAAGAAAAATGTTTTCTTCATTTTGACATATTTTGGAAATTCTGAACTTTTTTTCAAAGCAATCGTACTGCTTGAATTGCATAGAGACGAAATGTCAAAGCGCGCAAGTGCCGCGCCGCCGTCTAACGCGTAAGCATTGGTACGGAACCCATAGAAATGTAAAAAAAAAATATATTTATTGTTAAAATATCTGATAATTTGATGTGCATATGTCTAATGATCATTTTAAACCGCCGAATGGCATTTTTTTACTTTTTTCATTAGATCTCCGAAACCGCTAGACTTGCCTTCATGAAAATGTGATCAATTTTTTATCTTGTCAATACAAGTAAAATGTTTTTTATTCAAATCGGGCGCTCCGTTCTCTTAAAAACTGAATTACCGTTTTCGGCACTTTTTGCCCCGTATCTTCGGAACGGCTAGACCTGCCTTCGCCAAAAACTAATCACCACGTCTCCTTATCAATATGAATCGAATGTTTTTTGAATTATTCAAATCGGTTGATGCGTGTTTCCGAAATAGTCGACGAAAATTTGTATCCGCACATACATACACACACGCACATACATACATACATACACACACACACACACATACATCCATTTTTTCTAAGGTATGCCAAAATGTTCAAAAGATTTTGAAACGTAAAGATATATAAAAATTTTCATTTTCGATTTTTTTGCGATTACTATAACTTGCCCTACGGGAAGTTAATAACTAATAAATTTGAGTTGAAATCTTTTTTTGCAAAGAAGTTTATAAAAATACACTTTTTATTAATTAAATCGTTTTTAGTGAAGAAGTGTTAGTGCATAATCATCATACAGGTAATTCTGTTTTTCTTACCCTTTTTTAAAAACTAATATTTTCTTACATAATCCACTCATTTATTTTTTTTTAATTTTTATTTTGATTGTATTATCATATTTTTTATATATGACTTCTCTTCCACAATTATCATTTTATAAAAATTTACCTTTTTCTACTTTTCTTAAATATCTTTTGTTTAAATTTTATTAAGATCTATTTAAAAATGTATTATTTAATAATAATATTTCCTAAAGTTACTAACTTTCATAACCTACCTTTCATACACTCACGATTTACATTTTTTTAAAACAAACCGTTTTCTATCAATATTTTATTTTCTAGCACCATCTATTGTCTAACTGGGCCCTATTCCTGTTTATTCCTATTTGATATTTCATGAGTCACCAAGTTGACCTTGTACAGATGTTTCATTCGCCTACGAATCTTTTGGCACTTCACCAGTAACCAGAACAAGTTAGAACAGTTAACACATAGTACTACATTTATATTTTAGATTTTAAATTATAATACACTGATGATGAGACAAACCTAGTCTCAAAACGTTTGTAAAATTATTATTTAATAAATTAGTGTAAAAAGAGTGATGTTTGCTCCTATTTCTAAATTAATATCTAGCCACTCAGAATTGCAAAAAGCTTTGCAAAATTGTGAAAATTGACTTAACCGCACATATATATATATATATATATATATATATATATATATATATATAGTATACAAAATTTTTCTGTAATGATGTATGTAAATAAACTCCTGCTAAACGATTATTCGTATTTTGATAAATCTTTCTGAAGTTTGTTAAGGGATTTTTTGAGGATGTATGTGATCATAAAAATATAGTACTATTGTAGAAATAAATGGAAAAAATTGCAAAAAACGACATATCATTCTTTGACATTGAAAATATTTGAGACATTATTTGGCATTAAAAACAAATGAAAACTGTCATATGGCAAAAATTTTAATTTATTATGGGCCTAGAAAATATTAGAATATGTATAATAAATTCATGATTATGAATAAAAAAAATATCTACATTATTATTGCCAAAAAGCAGCTGAGATGTGCCAGAAATAAAAATAATATAAAATACAGTATATGATGGCAGATTGAATGATACACATATGAACAGGATTTGACAAATTAATTCACTTAAAATATGAAATTAATAATTATGATATTAAAATATGAAATTAAAAATTCGGATATAAAATTTTCAATATAGTTTTTTTTTAATATAATTCTAATAAGAAAAAAATGGCATGCGGGCGCTGAGAACCCCAGAAACGTCCCTGATAATAATATAAATTAAATTATAATTTAATTTAAGTAATATATTACTAAGAAAAATGTAATTTAGATATTATACTTACTAAAAATCAGTTAAAATATGATACGATATTATAAAAATTATAGGCAAACTTATTGAATCAATTATTTTGGGTGGAAAAATCCAAGGTAATAATATTGTACTTTTACCGCGGATACTATAAATTAATTAACTTCCCGTAGGGAAATCGTCCGAACTTCGAAATTGAAAATTTTTACATTTCTTCACGTTTTGAAGGTTTCTGAACATTTTGGCATACCTCAGAAAAAATGGATGTGCGTGTGTGTCTGTGTGTGGATACAATATTTAGTTCACGTTTTCGGGCGCACGGATCAACCAATTTGAATGGTTCAAAAAACATTCGATTCCTAGAGGAATCCTCATCATTACGAATTGAATGTTTTTTTGGATCATTCAAATCGGATGCTGCCTGCGTTCTCTCAAACTCGATTTCTATTTTCTACACTCTTTGTTCCGATCTCCGAAATGGCTGTATCTGCCTTTGTCAAAAACTAATCAGCTATGAATATATTCATAGGGAGATGTGCTGATTAGTTTTTGACAAAGGCAGATACTGCCGTTTCGGAGATCGGAACAAAGAGTGTAGAAATCATTCAATTCGTAATGATGAGGACATGTGGTGATTAGTTTTTGGCAGAAGCTGGTCCAGCCGTTTTGAAGATACCGAGCTAAATATGCAAAAAATGGCAGTTTTTGAAAGAATTAAGCATCTGATTTCAATGATTCAAAAAAAAAACTTTCTGCTTATGTTGACGAAACGATTGCTTTTTTTTGAATATCGAAAATAAATCGAATTTTAATTTTTTCTAGGTAAAGTTCCAAAGCTCACTAATATACCAAAAATAAATAATTTTAATTTTGCAATTCAATTTATGTAATCCTTATAAATATTAGAAAATGTACTTCATTTTAAATTCGATTGAGTTTTGTTTATTTAGTTTCCTGTAAACATATATAAGTTACAGTACAGTAGAACCTCGATTATCCGGACCTCGGTTATACGGATTCGCGATTATTCGGACATAATCGCGTCGGAACTTGCATATTCCGCCCGCGCCGTTGTTTCGCTGCCCCACGAGGCATTATTGCTTTATGTAGTTAGTTCGTTTGCAATTTTACTAATGTTTTCTGACCTACACATACATTTTTAAAGGGTGGTGTTATCCCTTAAAGATAAAATAAATATAGATTCATTAAAAAGGCAAAAAAAACCGGCCGTAAATTAGCGATATCAAAAAGAATGCCGATTCAATTTTGTCTTTTCGTATACTTGCAAGTTAGATAGTGAAGAGGGGAGTGAAAATCGGAAAATGATGAAGAGACCGAAAAATTAACTCTTAGAAGAAGCTCTATATTGTTGGTTTTTACAAAAACGATCAACAAATTATTCATAAGCAACTTTTCTTCTTCATTGATATTTTACGTACCACCTGAATATTTTACCTCATGATTAATATAATATGTATAATGTAATGTAATTGTAAGAAATATGTAAGTGTTAATTTTCTAATAAACATCGATTTTTGTTGATATCTGTTATTTGTTGATGTATTTGTTATTTTTGATAAACAAAACATTTTTCATAAATCGGATTATCCGGATGCCCATATACAACCATTAGTCCGGACAATCGAGGTTCTACTGTATTTAAAAAAATAATCTATTTGAAAACATTTAATATTCCTCGAATATTTCATTGCGGTGTGGAAAGTACCAACAATTTGCCTTAAGGCACAATGCCATCCACCACTAGTTTTTCAGAATTTGTTATACCGTTTAAAATACTTTAGTTTCCAATATAGTGTGGGAATTGACTTATTTTATAAAGCAGTTCTACATTTAACATCGCTCATATTGATGCATATGCATTTTGGTGTGAAGAGTAATTTAAAAAATTTAGTTTTAGGTAAACATAACATAGTATAGAGTATTAAAATATTGTAGACGTGGGCACAGGACAACACGTCAGGCGTCAAGTTATCTAGTATATATATATATGTCAGTCATACTGCGATTAGAGGGAGAAAGTTAAAATCTTTGTTAGAAAAAAATTCTTTGTATTAAATTATATAAATATATACATTACAAATGTCATTTAATATTAACATTTATTATTTATTAAAAATAGACCATATATTGAATATAAAAATGGATAAAACCTCACATAAATTAATCGTAAGATAAAATGTTAAATAAAATAGTCCAACACAGCTAGTTTAGTCTTTAACCAATTTTAGTATAATCACAGAGTGTAAGGAGTTATGCTTTGAAACTTTCATATATTTGGAATCAGCATATTTTTTTGCAATAGCCTATAAAAAAAAAATCGACACATAAATATTAAATTGATTTCGAGTTTCAAATATTACTTACATGATCCTTTGTTGCCACTTTGTGTATAATTTTTGCAAGCATCTTTACAGCAGCATCAATTTCAGGGTATTTATATGTAGAATAGTACTGCAAAGCAGGTGTCCAAGCTTTGGATGGCAACACTGGATCTTTGTTCAGGAGGGCAAAGGACAAGCATATAGCTGCCGCAGCCATCTATTAAATGTAAGAAGTGCTAGATGAGTTGAAAATTTCTTGCAATTCTAATGTCAGATTTTTCAAGTAATGAAGTGAGAGACTAATGACTAGCATAAGGAATATAACAGTTAACTAAGGCATGTGCACTGTACTAATTGCATTATAGGATACTTACCATAGATGGTTTATAATAGCAAGTTGTGTATTCAAAAAGCAGTAACTCAACAAAAAACTTTGACATAGCATGATGAATTGGATTTGCATTTGCAACTTTACTGAATCTTCGAAGGAAGTTAATAGGTAGTGGTGGACTCAAATTAAATTTTAAAGTGCGTAGCATTTCATATTCCATGCTTCTAATTTGTTGTTTATTGTAAGCATCTTGACACACGTACATGAAATCATGTATATCAGGAACATACATCTCTTCATATTTGCAAGCTAAGATCATTGCACACAAGCCAACTAATTGATAGTTATCCTTGGTGATATGACTTACTTTCTGAAAAATGCAACACATTTTAGATTTAAATGCAACAATTAAAAAAAAGTATGTTCAAGGATGTGTAGCTAAATTCATTAACTACAAAGAAATTAGTTGTTCATCCTTCGAGTTTGCTTTAGGAATAGTTGTATCAGTGAACAACTAAAATTTAAAAATTGATCACTTTCTTACTTTCCGCAAGATCGTATATTGCATTTTAACACATTATCATTTAACTTACTGTTAAAAATCGGTCCAATATGGAAATTGTCAAATGTAATGTATCCAAAAGACATGAAAATTCAGTGTGTACATTTATCAGCCAGGAAATTAGAATCTCACGCATTTTTTTATTGATCTCCTGTAAAAAAAAAAATAATAATTAAAAATGGCAAAATATATTATACAAGAAAAGTTAAAAGGTCTAAATGCAGAAGAGATTTAAGCCAGATTATTAAATAGTTTTATTTTTGCAGTTCTACTACTGTATTTGGAAATTACCTTCCCCTGAAGAAAGTTTTGTTGCACAGGATCACTTTTTTCCAGAGTCATCAAATATTCATATATGTCTTTCTTGTATTCAACAACCATCAACGGATTTAAAATATCAGCATATTCTATCATGTCAAGTTTTTTTATTAATTCTGGAGTAAAGTCGATTTCTTGTGCCTCTTCATTTTTTGATTTTGGTAAATATGGATTTAAAATTAATTTTGGGCCATGTTTGGCCTCAGATTTGAGTTTGTCAGATCTAATAGTTTTGTTCTGAAATAATTATTGGTTTACAAAGAGTAGTATGTAATATAACATATGTTGTAAATTGTAATTACCTGAGCAATCTTCTTTGTGTCTAAATTTACACAACTTTGGTGCCGTCGAATTACTGTTTTATTTATTGGATGCAAATTTGAGTCAACTTTCGATTTAACATGCACAAATGGGTTACTAAAAATGTGTATAGAAGAAGTTAATTATAAAAAGTCAATACAAATTATCTTATAAAGTAATAGACATTCAATAATAGAATATTAAAAATAAATAAAAGCAAAAAATCTTATACATTTGAGAACAAATCATTAGAAATAGTAAAAAATTGCATGTAGTACTGTAAATTGTCATTAAAAAAAAAAAATTGAAAGTGATAAAAATTAGAAGGCATTGAAAATTTATGCATTCATTTATCAAATTCAATGTGATTTGTTCGAAAGCAGTACTTTGCCATATATACCAAATTAAAAAATAGTGGCACATTTGGGTACTGCATTATACATCAATGTTTGAGGATACAAAACAAACCAAATGTGTGTTACCAAAACCGGATTTCAAATATGAATGATTTGCTTTCATTACTCACAATTTGCGTCCAATACTGAGTTTGTTTTCAACACGCTTGCAGAGTTCTGCATCAATTTTAGTACGATTGACATTATGAATTTCTCCTAAAATTGGCCTAATGTTCTCTCTGATATCAGCAGTTGATTTTGCTTTATCTTTTATCATTGTCGACTCTTTTAGCTTAGCCCCATTACACGCCAAATTACGGGTCTGTAAATTCTGAAAATTATAAGAATTACGCAATCTGTTAAAATTCTACGTAACAATCTAATCAGCATTACATGAATCCATCAATTACAGTTACATAAATTATTAATTGAAACGTAACGTCACAAATTGAAATTTGTAACAAATTGACAGATCCAACGCACTTACTTGAAATTCAGTGTTTCTTTTGATGGCTTCCATAGTTAATAAAATCAGGCAGGCGTCAGAGGACTAGCTTGGAGCACCAAACAAAAGTTGACGTCGTGATGCAGTTATTTTCTTACTTTTGGGTGCCTGTTACTCCAGAAAACTCTTGAAATTTAATGCTCATTGCAATGAATTCCGAGAGACGTTGAGTTCGTTAAATAGTAGTGTTATCATACTTGAAAAAATTTAAGAATAGTATTGCCATAGTGGATGTTTGATAACCATGATAACCAACATGAGGATTAAAAGACGAAACATCGAAATCATAGATAAATAAACATAACATGATCGAAATCTAGTAACAATAACTATTAACATTGCATAGCAAATTGCAATAATGTATGGGGACGCACAAATTATGATATATTATTGCAATTTTATTATGGGCATAAAACGCTATTTATTTATTTTATAAAATATTTGAAATTGAAGCAATAATTTATGCTAGTTTGTAACACAAATTCAAATGAAAATATTCACTATGTACTTTTCTGATATCTCAAATTTCAAAATTACGTTTTAATTAATTTAGACTTGGGAGACATCTAGACATGTATATTGAAATTAATGTATAAAAACGAATGTAGCTAAATGTTTTCCTTAAATGCAACTCGACAAATTATATATTTCTATTACATCCATTATGTTTATTTATCTATGATTACATTCATTAACATTACATGTTACCAACAATTAGAGAACCAACTTCATAGTAAGTCCTTGATAACCAACATACGAAGCTTGAACAAAACGTCATTCATGTGTCAAAGAATAAATAAAAACAACTTAAACAATATAATAAAATTAAAGTAAAAACAAGTTAACTTTGTTTAATTCCTGTCGTCACCTTAGTAAATATTTATTGATCTGATATGGGTTGCGATGGCGGAACAATTCCGCGCCGTGATGAGCTGGTTAGATTGAAAAAGAAGCCAGAACAGGTAAATTTCTCATATGTGTGTCAAAAATAATTTGATAACCATAGTTATTTCTATAGAAAGATAAAAACTCAGAACTATCATTTCGTTGGCGTCATTGTGCTATATCACAACAATTGCTGCAAGAACCCATTGTTGGATGTGGTCTAGGGCGACTTTATTCTAAAAGTTCACTTATTGAAGCTTTACTTGATAAAAGCTTATTGCCAGAGGTAGCAACTCATATTCGGAATCTTAAGGTATGTGGGATTTAGATAAGTGTTTTAAAGTAGCTACTAATTATGTATTATATAAATAAATTTAAATTAAAAATGTTTTCTTTCGAGTTACTGGTTTTTAGTAACCAATTCAAATTTTCTAGAATTTTTTTTAATAAAATTGACTTTATATCCACATTAATTAAATAGAATTATTTGATTTTCAGGATGTGAAAGACTTAAATTTAAGCCCTAATCCCGCATACAAGCAGGATGCTGAAGGATGTGAAGCTGCGCCCTATGTTTGCCCAGTTATTGGTTTAGAAATGACAGGAAATTTCAGATTTGTATTTCTCTGGACTTGTGGATGTGTTTTTTCTGAAAGGGCTTTAAAATATGTTAATTCTAATATTTGTCACAATGTAAGTATTGTTCCTGCAATTACATTTCGTTATTATTTTTCTGTGAAAGATAATCATAATCTAGAGTATCACGCATTTGTTTCATAAAATATATTTATTACTTATTTACTTATAATCCATAATTCATACTTACTTACTAATAGTATTAAAATAAATATAATATGAATATAAATTTATATGTTTCAGTGTCAAAAACCATTTGCTGAAGAAGATGTTATTGTTCTTAATGGTAATGAGGAAGACGTAAGAATTATGCGTAAAAATATGGAAGTCAGAAATATTAAACTGAAAGCTGAAAAAAAGGCCAAAAAGGGTATTAAAAAAGAAACTGAAATTAAAACAGAAGCTAGTTCCTCAAATGCTTCAGAACAAAGTTCAATTAAAATAGAGCAGTTGAAAACTGAATTACAGCAGAAAACTGAAACCTGCATTAAAAGTTTATCTATGAAAGAATCAATAACTCATAATTTAGGCAATAGCAAAATAAATGTTACCAAAATCACACCTAGTACAAGCAAATCAGAAAATGGCCAACAGTATTTGAAACGTACTGCAGTGGGGCAAAGTTTAGGAGACCCAGTGTTCAAAAAATCTAAAGATGCATACAGTGTAGCTCAAGATCCAGAAGCATCTGAAGTTTTCAAGTCGATATTTACTACTCATTCTACTGCAACTCAACAAGATAAAGCACACTGGATTACATACAATCCATTTTATAATTAACCCTAAATAATATTTAACTTTATTTGATGACAAAGATTATGCAAAAAATAATATATTATTTCAATGAAAATGATGCTACTTCAAAATAATTATTTGACAAGTATTGTTATTGATTTGCTACATTTTATCATTCAAAGCATTTGCTTAACATTTAGTATTAATTTCAGATTCCGTGCAATGTCAAATGAACAATTCTGATATTAGGAATATTATGGTTATCAAAAATGAAAGTTATATTTGCTTTCTTATATGCTACAATATGAGATATTTTTAGATAAATTGAAATGATATATTGTATTTAACATAAAATATTATAATATTTTAAGATTATTGAAATAATGTTTTACATTTAATTACAGAAGACCTTGTTATAATATTTAAAAATGAATTACAGATGTGTTCATAAAATTTAAAGGCATTTCGTAGTCTGTGCCCAAATTCTTTCACAATATCTAATTTTGGACGCTCAAGATCAACTAAGTCATCCCGTAAATCATGAACAGTACGTGTTTTATTAATATATGTATACATGTAACATGCCGGAATGTTCCCGATAGTAAAAACTTTATGGAATCCCTCATGAATTATTTGTAAATGCTGGTTGGTGTTCAACTGTTTAGAAAATCTTTCGTTTTCATCTTCATATTTAATTTGCCCATGTAATACAGTCAATGTTACATTTTCCAAGTCTTCTGAAATGTAGTTTTCTAAAAACAGCCCGGGAAAATCTGCTACAAATAATACTTCTGTAAAATTGCTCCAACTGTATACTTCTTTCTGAATTTCGGCCATTTTTGATCTATAATCTGTAAACTGTCTGAGAAGGGGTAGAAGCCAAGAAACTTCTTGAAAAGGTGACCAATCGACCTTCAAAAGATCAATTCGGGGGTCAAACATACGTTGTTGAAATCTACCATTCAGTGAACACCAAACATCTATGTAAATACTCATATCATTTGATATTGAAATAGGTCCTCGCGACTTGTTCATATTTATATTGTAATCCATAAGTAAATTTGTTTTTAAGCATTTAGCATATTGATGTGACATGTCTCCATGTTTTGACCACCGATCATTGGCTGTCCAAGCGGATGGGTCCAAATAGTGTGATAAATTTGATTGATTGTCATGAACCCGTATAGATACCAAAACAGTGTCCCATGCATGCACCATCATGTCCCAAGAATAACCATATAATCCATCGGTCCAATTATTATATCCCTGGAAACGTGAACTTAGGTTATTCAAAGCAAAATTTAATAAATATATAAATTGCCTGACCTTAGTTATAAAGTGAGAGTATGGCAAAAATGCTTGGATACCGCAATGACTTAGAAGCAAAATACAAACAAATCGCTGTTTCCATTCTAGTGGCTTTTTTATTTCAACAAAATCATGTAAATCTTTACGACCATCCACTTTAGACTCTTTCACATCCACGCCAGGTTTGGTATATTTTTCAAACTTCAAAAAACTTGAAACTTTTCTTGGCCAATCAGGTCTACAAAATAAAGGAAGTTCTGCCAAACATACCCAAGGAAACATTCCTGAAATATTTTTGAAAGAATTTTAATAATTGTTATTGGTATTTAATTTATTTGGCTAATATTTGAAAAAATTCATACTATTAGTATATTAGCATTAAATATTACCAATACTAAATAGCCTTGAATTCATAAGATGGAAAGCTATGGCGAAAAGCATAGCAAGAGGTCGAGTACTTTCAATCAGTAATAGAAATGCCACAGTCAAATCAAAAAAACAACCAAACCAATGCACAATCAGAAGATCTGCCATCTCGGTTGAAATGAATGTTCTAAAAAGAATTGAAAATAATGAATAGTGAAGCTTTTAAATAAATTCATTTTAAATTTTTGAATCCTTAGCAAAGTAACACAATGAATTATTACTACTAAAATATAAGATTTATTTATACGCCTAATTCGTTAACTAATTTAACAACTGCAACATTTGCAAAAGATGTATAAGTTATAAAAATTATCAATTTTTAATAAATGTTAATTAACATTTTTAACATGATATTCTAAAAAAAGCGTCACTAGTAGAGAATTCAACAAATACAATGAAGCAACTTTTAGGATTAGTAATTTCTAGGCCTAACAGGTACATATCAATTGCTGTCAAAGCTTCGGTTATAATTCTGCACATCACAAATCTTAAATTTTATATGAATATCTTCTATATCCTTGAGTAAAAAAACTTACGTGAATGGTATGAAGACCCAGTGTCTGGTCAGGTGGGTCATAGCGTGTCCAGAAAGCCATTCGGCACTGAGTTTTTTTAGACCCGCGACAAAATACAATATGATGAACTGATACTTCAATATAAAATAGTTCCAATATGGAACAGTTTGCTCTTTGTGCTTTCTTGATCGAACAGAACTGTTAACGAATGAATACCTCTGATTGCAAATAATTATCGATTGTAAATATATTATAGACTATAAATTTACCAATAATTTGTAGAACTGGTTCCGAAGTATAACAATACAATTAGCCCATATAAATAGCTATGGTTATTCCATACGCTTTTGTCTAATAGAAATATATACCAGTACGGCACAGCAAACAAAGAACAGCTTAAGCGCATTCGCCAACCAATCATTATTCCAAAGGCGCCTGCAAATAACAATTCATAAATAATACATAAAATTTCTGATATAGCTGCTATTGACTCACAAATCGATTAACAGCTCTTGATAGACATATTTTTTATTTGATATTACCTAAATACATGAGCGCATATAAAAGGCCCATATATTGCAAACTTAACGGCTTTATCCAAGCAAATAGAGGAAACTTGCACTCTCGCGGATTTCCCCAACGTACGTCCAGATTGGCACCTCCTCTTTCATCTGGTATATCCAACAACATGGAAAATCCTGCAATGGTGAATAATATCGTATATAAGTTAATTAATATTTTATCTCATAACGATGAGTAGGAAAAAAAGTAGTCATGAATAGCAATAACGAAAGTAAAAACATACTAACCGAAAAGCATTCTGCAAACACCAATACTTGCAGCATCCGTAGGCTGATACATCAGTTGTACAAACTTATCAAATGAGATCAACCGGCTTGGTTTAAATTCTTTCAGACAATCGAGAATTTTTTTCGTGTAATTCTTATCGTCATCTTTGCAGTTCTTGGTTGCAGAGCAATGTCTTTGTTTGGCGCCCATCTCATGTAAATTTGGCTTTAAATAATACTATAAATTATCAAAATTAATAAAATAACCTACTTGAATAGATTTATTAACATAATAATATTATCAATGATAAATTCAATATCAAAGGCTATTGATGCACACGCTAATGTTATAATATTATTTCACTGCTGAGTTTAGAAGTTATTGTTTACTTTTACATGACATACACTTAAATATTGTTTTATAGTTAGTCACTTTTCATCGCCCATAAAAATCTTCTAGTAAGATCTATAAATCGAGTCGTAGCGTAACTCGATTTAAATCACAGCATATTGTACAGTAGTTAATAATGATTCTTTAATTTAAAATTAATAAACGCAGTAAGACTAATGCAGTATATAATGGATAGTTATATTTTTTAGCCAAATAAATTTATTAATATTTATTCATAATATTAACTACGATTTGCTAAATAACAAGTAGTTTCCTCAGCATTTGCAAATATACTTTTGAAAAGAATTCACAAACTTATCAGAAATATAAGCGAAACTAAAATCAATTAAAATCAACAAATTGAATAAAAAAAATGATGGCTTATGACCCATCAGTTCTAATATAAAGTCATTTACTTTCAATTTGTCATAATCTGCCCATATGACTATAAGAGGGTACAAACAATCGTGGAGAATATTGTGAATAAACAAAACCCATAGAAAAATATATTCCTAATTCAAATTGAACAAAGTCAATAAAACGGATTTTCAGCATATCTCTAAAATAAATCGAGTGAATAATAAATATAAAAAATCAAAAATTTTTGTTGATGTTAAAAACATTTAAATGCATAGATTTATATGTATTTTTCAACAATATCGTTAAAATGTTATATTATGAAATTTTCTCTCAATTTAGTGCTCGGCGTAGTATAGAACTATTGCAAAGCGATACAATAAAGCGATTACAAATGAATTTTTTTATATATCTTTACGTTTCAAAGGTTTCTGAACATTTAGCACACCTTAGAAAAAATTGATGTATGTGTGTGTGTATGTATGTGTGAGTGCGTGTGTGTGTGTGCGTGCGTGTGTGTGCGGATACAAATTTTCGTCGACGATTTCGAACACCGATCAACTGATTTGAATTATTTCGATTCGTACTGATAAGAAGACGTGCTGATTAGTTTTTGGCGGAGGCAGGTCTAGCCGTTCCGAAGATACGGGGCAAAAAGTGCCAAAAACGGTAACACAGTTTTTAAGAGAACAGAGCGTCCGATCTTAAAAATTCACAAACACATTTTACTTGTATTCACAATATGAATAACTGATTAAATTTTTGGGAAGGTAGGTCTAACGGTTATGGACTCTCAATAAAAATAAATTAAAAAAATGCCATTTGGCGGTCAAAAATGTTCATTGGACATATGTGCATCGAATCATCAGATATTTTATAGAGTTATTATATATACATATATTATTTTCATTCCTCCATTTCATTTTTAATTACGATACGGGAAGTTCCAGCAATTTGCCTTAAGGCACGATGACATGCGCCCCACTAGTTTATTAATAATAGATCAATTATTAATTTCCCGTAAAGTAAGTTATAGTAATAGTCCAAAAATCAAAAATGAAAATTTTTGCGTATTGTCACGTTTCAGTAGTTTCTGAGCATTTTGGCTTGCCTCATTCAGAAAAAATGGATGTATGTGTTGAGATAATTTTTCGTCGACGATTTCAGGCGTACGGACTATTCGATTTGAATGATTCGAAAAACATTCGATTCCTATTGATGAGGAGATGTGCTGATTAGTTTTTGACGAAAAGAGGTCCATAGGCTTCGAAAATATAGAGCAAAAAGTGCTAAAAATGTCAGTTTTTAAGAGAACGGATCAACCGAATTGAAGTGGTGATTAGATTTTGGCAAAGCCAGTTTCGGAGATATTAATTAATTTTAACTTTGCAATTCAGTTTATATAATATTTAGAAATATTAGACAATATTCTTCATTTTAAATCCGATTGATTAAGTTTTGTTTATTTACTTTTTTATAAAATAAGAATAATGAAAGTTACATTATTTATAATAATCTATTTAAAAACATTTTATTTTTCTCGAATATTTCATTAAGGTATGGAAAGTTTCAGCAATTTGCCTTAATGCACGATGCTATACAGCACAAGCTTAGTTTTAAAATTGTCGTTATCATATCGCACTGAGAAATTTAAATTTTTTAAACATTATTAAATGTGCCTTTTAAATCCGACAATTTTAGCAATCATCTTTTAACAGAAAAACTTCTACTTAAAAAATATTAAAACGCCTCTATCGAAGTTTATTAGTTCCTCATGTAGTTTTTAACAGGAAGATTAGAATTTTACTCGAAAACACTTTTTTAGATGAAATTTATAGGCGAGTTAGTAATATTGCAAATCGATTATTAACATTTTATGATCAAGAATAACATTATGTATATATATATATACTCGTATATATATATATATATATATATATATATATATATATATATATATATATATTATACTAATTGTAAGATAAAGAGTATTTTTACTTCCTGAAGGAAAATTTTATGATTTCACGAAAAAATCCGATTTGCTTGTTTTATGTTTTCTCTACGTTTCAAGTCATTCTGAATCGTTTCAAAAAAGTTTATCAGTTTTATGCGACTATCAGCCGCTTCTTTGTAATTAGTAAAAATGAACAAAATTTTTCCTCTACGATTAAGCCAAAAATCCTGGATCGATTTTGAAAATTCGTAATTCGATGAAACTCGATAAACACTCGCGTTGGTTAGTTTATCGAGATGATCGGCCGACCTGTTTCTTTAGAATTAGCAGAAAAGCGCAAAATTTTCGTGCACGTTTTCATAAAAATTCCGAACTGATTTTGAAAATTAAAAAACTATGATTAGTTTATAACTAGCTGATTAGTTTTTGGCAAAAATCGGTCGTTTCTTCGTAATCAATTCTTCAATTTTTTTTTGCAATTTTCGGATGATAATATTAGAGTCTCACGACAAGTGGCTTTACCATAAACTTTAATTAAAATCCGAATTAATCGGCCGCGCTTTGACAAAATACTCCATGTATGTATTGAGAACGTGTTTTTCAACAATGTGTAATGTTTCAATCATTTGTCGAAAATAACTAACATTTTTGGAAATCATATTCAAATTGAATAACCTACAATAGTTTCTCAAATTATAATGTTCTACAACAACTCGTTTTACATATAAATTATTAATAAATTAATGTATTGATTTCATATTGATCAAGTCGATTATTTACACATACCGCGGGAAGTTCATGCAACTTCCCAGTAAAATACCACTTACACGCTTACACCTAGTTCAAGTTTAGCGAGATTACTTTATAAGTAAATCACTACTCGTATACATTTTTCCTTAATAATTATTATATATTATCTGGATAATAACTATTATATATTGTCTGGAAAGATGGTCTCGCGGAACAAGTATGTATGTGCGAAAAAAACGATTGACGTCATAACATTGTCGGGTTTGTTAAACACTTTAGTATAAATATTTAATTTATTACCAGTAATATATTTGAACAATATTTTATTTTGTATCGATATTGAAAAGCATTGGAAATTATAGATAAAACTGTTGCTTGTGAATTCAACGATTAAAATTGATGATTGTACAACAAAATTATGTTTTACCTACAATTATGAAAGTATGATTTTATCAAATGTTCAAATACAGTTTGTTATTCCAAGCTATATGTTATGGTATACTCTTTCTTATAAAGTTTGGTCGTGTTGAACAATTATAATTCAAGAATTCTAAAAGCTACTGTATCAAATTTCTGAAGTTATACATAACTCGTATCAGTCGAGCTTCTTAGAAAGTTATTTCGCTTTGTAAACAAAGGAAAAAATCCAATTATCATATTTCTACATGATATTATAAATAACCATCGATGACTTTGAATGATGATGTGAAGTCATTAAAACGAAACGAGAAATGCGATTAGTAATACTATGCGTCTGTAGACATTATTTGCATAAGTTGCAAATGAAAATATGCATTTGACGAGTAGTTGCAATGTTAAATGAAGAAAATTTCTTTAGTAAAAAATCCATCTGCAACTTCGAAGCTATGCTGGGCAGATACATCTACAGTTTCGTGCGGCTTTAATGCAATTCATGAAGGGGGTGTAGTTTCTCTGCGTCAATAAAAAGTTATACTTCGTTATTATATACACTTGATGTAATTATGATTAATGTCATAATGACAACACAATAGCTTTTGAGTAACTGTTATCAAAAAGTGAATTTTTGTTTTGTTAACTGCATAATAAAGGGGCCTTCGCGGCGGAGTGGTTACCGCGTAGGTTTGCAATTAGCCGGATCACGGGTTCAATCCCCGTACATTGAATTCACGATCAACCCTGATATCAATTTTCAATTGGGAAAATAGATCTTGAATATGTACCAAATAAAAATATCATAATAATAACTCAGCCCTATTAGATGAATTCTACTAATAAAGTAATCAAATATGGATAGGTTGAAGGCCAGGTTACCATCTAAAAAAAATACAACTTGAGGAGAAGTGTCAGTCCAACAGCTTATAGGACTTACTATAAAGTTCTGATTGCAGTTAAAATATGATATAAACGACTAGTTTAAAATAAAAGACTAGTTTAATTGCTTGCGCACTTGTTAAAATAAGTTATTAATTTAAAATTGCGAATTAACATATGATTTAAAAAAAGATAAATGGACGTGGAAAAATCAATGTCAAAGATTTGACAAGTTCTATTTTATAACAAAATAAAGATTAACTAATATAACAATAAAAATTAGTCTATTCAACTATAATTTTTTGCTATATTTGACTCACCCTTTTGTACTCAATAGCCAATATTTTAAAACAAAATGTGAACAAACACTTATTTTTTATATAGTATATTTTATCTGGGTCCGCGCGCGTACTACTTGTTGAATAGCCGAAACGCGACTGCCATGCGACAGCAGCCATCAGCCTGAGGAATGATTTCTGTTGCCCCATTTCCCTGCAAGGAGGGCGAACAGTGCGCGCAAGCCAATAGAAAAACTAGCTGTAAGTGGAATTCTGTCTTAAGGCATCGTGCCTTAAGGCAAATTGCTGGAGCTTCCCGTACCAAAAATTATTATTTTTTTAGGAACGATTAACATTTTTGAAAAAAAATTACTTTGAAAAAATAAGATTTTTGAGAAACTATAAATTGTACAAAAAATTACTTTTTTTCGAAAAAAAAATAATTTTTTTTTAAATTTTTTTTTTTGAAAAAAAATTTTTTTTCTTTATTTTGACATATTGTGGAAGATCTAAACTTTTTTTTTCAAAGCAATCGTACTGCTTTAACTGCATAGGGACAAAATATAAAGCGCGTAAGCGCCGCGTCGCTCTCTAACGCATAAGCATTGGTACGGAACCCATAGGAATGTTAACAAAATGTATACTTATTGTTAAAATCTCTATAAAATATCTGATAATTTGATGTGCATATGTCTAATGATCATTTTTGACCGCCAAATGGCTCATTTTTTTACTTTTTCCTTCATATCTCCGAAACCGCTAGACCTACTTTCATGAAAATTTCATCGATTTTTCATCCTGTCAATACAAGTGAAATGTTTTTTGAATTATTCAAATCGGACGCTCCGTTCTCTTAAAAACTGAGTTACCGTTTTCGTCACTTTTTGCCCCGTATTTTTGGAACGGCTACACCTGCCTTCGCCAAAAACTAATCAGCACGTTTCCTTATCAATACGAATCGAATGTTTTTTGAATTATTCAAATCAGTTGATCCGTGTTCCCGAAATCGTCGACGAAAATTTGTATCCGCACATACATACACACACGTACATACATACATACATACACACACACACACACATACACACACACACATACACACACACACACACATACGTCCATTTTTTCTAAAGTATGCCAAAATGTTCAGAAACCTCTGAAACGTAAAGATATATAAAAATTTTCATTTTTGATTTTTTTGCGATTACTATAACTTGCCCTACGGGAAGTTAATAATATGTATGTACGGTACAAATTTTCGTAGACGATTTCGAAAGCACAGATCATCCGATTCTAACGATTCAAAAAACATTCGATTCCTATTGACTGATTAGTTTTTGGCAAAGGCAAGTCCAACAATTTTTAAAATACAGGGCAAAAGTGCAAAAAATGGCAATTGAGTTTCAAGAAAGTTTGGCGGACAAAAATAATCATTAGGCATATGCATATTAAGCTATCAGATATTTTATGGAAATCTTATTATTAACTAGAATATTTATTACCTTTATCTTTCGACACTTTCGACAACAGGTTCACCTGACTTGCATGGGTTTCAAAATTTTCAAAAAATACGGGTTGTTTAATTGTGTTTTTTTGACGTGTCAAGTCATTTTGAATCGTTTGAGGCCAAATTTGAAATAAAGGTATGTGTGAAAGCCATTTTTTGACCTGTCATCGTTTGTAGCAGAAAATTACAAAAATTTCGTCAAAAATACTGAAACGATTTTAAAAATATAACTGTTTTGATAAAGATTGGCCGGGCAGTTTCTTCGTAGTTAATTGCTGAATTTTTTTGTGAAGATATAGGTCATAGTCTTAAAGTCTTAGATAAGTGGTTTATAAATTTTTATTTTTTTCTATATTTAAAATTCGTGAAAGTTTGAAAAAATAAGATGCGTTTTGCGTGATTCAAAATTTGGCTTTTCGTCGATGTTTTTTCAAAAACAGTTTAACCAATTCCCAAAGTTTAAAAGCCATTCGATGAAACTCGATAAGAACTCGTGTTGATTAGTTTTGCGGAACAATCGGTAGAGTCGTCTGAACTCATTGTCAGTTCAGAATTAGTAACAAAGAGCAAAATTTTTTGTCGATAAAAAAATCGTAACATCAATGAAACTTTTTATAAAAAAATCATTAAATGTTTGAATAATAAACCGTGCCGATTTTCACTTGGAATATAGATTGCAATATGTTTTCAAGTGAAAACAGCCCTAATACGGCATTGCTGCACCAATTAAATGCATCACTATTACAGTAATTGTAATAACAAAAATTCAGCACATAGAGATGAGATAACTATTTGGGTTGCCAACTATAATAAGAACAAACGTAGTTTGTAAGATATTAATCTCAACAGCTCATAGAACCCATAAGTTCTGATCGCTGTTAAAATAAATTATTAAAAAAGAATTATATTACAATATCATTATATCATAACACATCACGTTATAAGGTAGTATTATAATATTGCAACATCGTATTTCTATTGTTTCAATCGCTGGTTTGTATATTTCAATCCATGTATATTAAATCATTGACGAAAAATTGATCTTAATATTATTATGAAGTCATGTCGCTAAATAAGCACATGTCAAGGATTAATTAAATCCCAAATATCAATCATCATCACGTCAAAAAGTATATGCACAGAGAACTTCTCGCTTTGCAAAGAGGATTTTTAGTTTATGTTTTCGCCAGAAAATCTGATTCAATATTTGAAGTCATTCTGAATCATTTGACACCAAAATTGGAAAAGATGTGTATGTATGAGTGCGTATGAGTATGTAAGACAAAATTTGACCTTTAGCCGACGTTTTCTCAAAAACGGCTGTTAACTGTTCGATGAAACTTGATAAGGACTCGCGTTGATTTGTTTTGCGTGACGATCGATCGAGCCGTTTTTTTGGCAATTAGCAAGTATGTGTCAAATTAAACTTGGAATGTTTCATTGTAGGTATGATTTGTCGAAAAAGCTAATTTGTTTGGAAAATTTGTACAAAATTAAATTTTCAGCAACAACTTCCAAGAATATAATGCCCCACAGCAACTCGATATACAGTTACACAAGGCTATAAAGAAAAAGACAAACAATATTTTCACTATATTTTTTACAAGTTATTATATAATGTCTTGATAATTGAGAACTGCTTTATAGTTTTAACTATAAAATGTGATGAAATGGAAGATCTAACAAAATTGACAATTGATCATACTCATGATTTTAGCCTTTCAAGTTCGCTATCGTATGAACTACAAGATAAAATAATTGATTTTCGCAAAATAGCGGATGCCTGAAGAAAAAATATGGTTATGACAACTTATTATGATATTCTTGAATTTTTTAAATGGTTGTAGTTTGGAGTTTTTTATAAGTGAACATTTTGGCTCGATCACCGTACCGGGCCATGCCCGTAATGCATGAAATTTGATTCTGGCCCGATTATCGTACGTGAGCTATGCTCATCATTGTTGGGTAAAGAGTTAGGGCAAAATTCCACTTACACATAGTTCATTTTTGTTGAAATAGGAAGCTGAAATCTATTTATGCATGTTTTCTAACACCTAACAAAAAAGAACAACTGATTTTTCTGCATAAAACAATTAAATAATCCGGTATGCAAATATTTTTCATAAATTTTTAAATACAATTGCACCAAATATAATTTTCTACAGAGTTAGTTATTTATAATTTATTTTTAAATGATCTCATTTTGACGTTTTTTAGAAGTAATATTTAAATCTAGGTGTAGTGAAATTTTGTTTGAGGCAAATTGTAATAACGTCCCGATATGTCGAAGTAAGTAATCAATCAACACGAATTGAAATTTTGCAACTTTTAAAATTGTAACTATACAAGTTTAAAATTTACGACCAGATGATTTGAAACGCTGAGACAACCTAAAATGTCCTTCTTGAAGTTTAAGTCGCGTATCTCGACTGGCCTTGCAAAATATTATTCAAAATGTATTATATTGTGTGAAAAATGTAAAATGCTATACATCTATGTATTTTAATAAAGGCATATGATGTGTTTGTTGAGGAACTCATATCATCTGATTACGTTATGTTTTCTGTCCCCGTCTCCGTCCCATAGACAATAAATATCGCTCACGCACGTGGATCGTAACGAATAACGATGGCCTATTGGATTTCCTGCTCAATAACGAATAGCAAATATTGTGAATTACGAGACACAACAAAAGTATATTAAACTTTCCCTTGATAATTGCAGTTGCAGGCGAAAATTGATTTCGTTCCGTATTATTTATTAACAGAACAAAAAACATCATTTTTTCAGCGCATGTAATTACTACCACGAAAAACTTTAATTACTTCCCGAAGGAGAGGTTTGTTTTCATCAAACAACACGATTTACTAAAACCAAAATTGGAAAAAGTATGTGTCTGTGTATGTACACAGATTTTTGACCTTTCGTCGACGTCTTCTAAAAAACGGCTAGGCCGATTTCAAAAATTTACAACAATCAGCCAAGCCGTCTTTATAACTAGCAGAAAAGTGAAAAATTTCGTCCACGTTTTAGCCCACAATTCTGAATCGATTTTAAAAATTCAAAGAAAGATATTGACTGGACATCGACCTGATTAGTTTTTGGTAAAGTTTTGCTGACACATGTTCTTGTAATTAACTGTTGAATTTTTTTTTTCGACTTGATCTTCTACATACTAAAATATTCCGGATCTACGTTTAATTTTAAAAATTCATCAAAGTTTGGAAAAATGAGTAGCGTTTTTTTGATGTTAGTTAAAATTAAACCTTTCATCGATGTTTTCTCAAAAACGATTCAGTTGATCTCAAAAATTTAAAAACCATTCGACGAAACTTGATAAGCATTCGCATTGATTGGATTTTTTATACAATCGGCTGAGCCTTTTCTTTGTAATTAGCAGAAAGGTGTCAATTGTCAATTTATAAACATTTGTAATAATAAACTACAATTTTAGGACATATAAGCACGTGTCTATGCACTATAATTAATATAATTACAGAAAATTTAAATGTGTTTGAGGGTTTAGATTTAATTGAAAGTGAAAACTTTATTTTCGAAATAAACAGTTGAAAATTGTATTTAAATATCCAAATCAATGTCGATTGATTAAATCAATTAT